GGAGCCTCAGAATCCTTGCCTCCAAGGAGCCACCCAGTTTAACCCTTTCCAGGATAAATCTGTTTGTTTTCCTAGCAGTCCATGGTACTCTCAATACTCTTCTCCAGCACCACAGCTCAAAGGCATCAATTCTTCTTCTATCCTCCTTGATCACTGATAGCAAGACTTAATATTGTAAAAAGGACAGTCCTACAAAAAGCAATCTATATGTTCATTACAATCCCAATCCAGATACCAAGTTCATTTTTCAAGGCAATCAAAAGTGAAATTGTCAAGTTTATTTGGAGAGAAAAGAGACCCCAAATCAGCAAAACACTTCTGAAAAACAAAAATGAAGTGGGAGGCATAGCACTCCCTGACCTCAAAACCTACTACACAGAAGTAGTAATCAAAACACCTTGGTACTGGTACAACAACAGGCACATAGACCAATGTAACAGAATTGAGAACCCAGAAATAGACTCAGCTATTTAACATCAACTGATAATTGACAAGGAAATAACACCTATCAAATGGGGAAATGGCAACCTCTTTAACACATGGTACTGGCAAAACTGGACTGCCCTGCAGAAAACTGAAACAGGATCCACATTTCACCCCATACCAAAAAAAAAAGTTATTTCAAGGAGGATCAAAGCCCAGAACCATAAAACTCATTAGAGACAAACTGGGATCAAGCTTAGACTGTCTAGTCTGTGGTATGAACAGACTGCCAAATACAACCAGAAATGCACAATCTGGAGAAGATAAAATTGATGAGTGGGGCCTTCTAAAGATTAAATCCCTGTGTGCATAAAAAATATTTTCTAACAGAGTGAAAAGAAAACCTAGGAAAAAATTTGGCAATACTATCTCTGACAAAGGTCTCATATCAAAAGTTTATATAATCCTACAGGTCATCCACAAGAAAAGACCATTAACACAGTTACACAGTGGGCAAAAGACATGGAAAGACTTTTCACAGAGGAAGATACGCAGATGGTGAACAGACACATGAAGAAATGCTCAAAATTACTGGCAATAAGAGAGATGCAAATCAAAACCACAATGAGATACCATCTCACTCCAGTAGCAGTGACTAAGTTAACAGCAAGTAATAAATGTTAGAGGGGATGTGGCAAGATAGGAATCTTTAGACATTGTTGGTTGGGTTGTTAAATGGTACAGCCAATCTGGAAGACAGTTTGGCACTTTAAAAAAGCTGACAATTAAAAAAAAAACACCTGACTGTATGACTCAGCT